CCCCACTCCCATGCCTGATAGAAGCGGTTTGGAGATGCCCGGTGCTCCAGGGCACAAGGCGTTTGTTTGCCTGCAGCCGGCATCCCTGCCAGGTGTGGTCTTCCACGGGGACCTGGCTTCCCGCCTGGGCTCCGTTCACGTGCTGTGAGCAGCTTCGGAGCCTGGAGTGGAGCTGGGCCCTGTGGTGGGATTGCAGGAGCTGGTGGTCGCCGTGGGCCTCACTGGGAGATGTGTTCTGGCCGCCTGTGCTGGTGGGGTTACTGAGGCCTTGGGATTGGGCTTTTCACTTTCTGTAGCTTTGTTTTCTCTTAACAGTAAAATCCCAATGTACAGGGCCAGCAGGAGGTGTAGCATAGTGGCTGGATGCTGGACTCCCTCCCATGGTTGACCGCGGTTCAAATCCCAGACCGGGTGGCTGGAAAAACTCCCACGGGACATATGGGCATATGTGTCCAAGATCCTAGGAGGAGAGTGGAGGAGAAGGGATTGCGGCATGGCCATCTCCCCTGAGGGGGCATTTCCCTCTCTCTCTCTCTCTCTGTCTCTCTGTTTCTGGTGAGTACATGCACCCCATAGCAAAAATCTCAAAAAAGAATAAAAACCTACACACCTTAGAGGCTTCCCTCACCCGCGCTGCCTCCTCACCTAGGCAGGCTTCACTGAGCACAGAGCACAGCAAGGCCCCGGGCCCCGAGCAGCTTCAGGGCCCTCACTTGTTAAGAGGCCGCACAGTCTGGACACGACCTTAGAGCTTTTGTTGTACCTTTTGCATCCGATTTTTAAAAATCCATTTCTTTCATGAGAGACAGAGAGAGAGGGTCCCCAAGGAGGTCTTCAGGCCATGACCCAGCCCCAGCCCACCATGATGTGTGTGCGCAGACATGATGTGTGTGCACCCGGCACCTTCAGCAGTCCCGGGCACAAACCCGTGTGAGCCCACTGCCACCACGTGGTCCCTGCATCCGATTCTGCGTCCTAGTGGAGACGGAGAGGCTGCCGCAAGGTGTGACCTTAGTTCGGACTGTCCCTTCCATCGACTTCAGGGTGTGCTCTGTTCCTCAGCAGGGAGCGTGTGAGCTGGTGGGCTTTCCACACACACGGGCGTGCGCTGTCTCCTGCTTTCCGCACACACGGATCCGTGCTCTCTCCATCTTACCATGCACACGGATCCATGCTCTCTCCATCTTACCATGCACACGGGCATGCACCATCTCCCACTTTCCATGCACACGAGCATGTGCTGTCTCCCACGTCCCATGCACACGGGCGTGTTAACATTCGAACACGTGTACTCTGCGGTGCCGTGGTCGGCAGGTAATGCTCCAGAACAGAGCGCAGCTGAGGGCCTGGCAGGGGCCACGCCCAGATCTTCACTCGGAATCGCATGTCCTTTCCGTGGCTCTCTGTGGCCGCAGTTCCGTTCCAGCATTTGCCGACGCTCCCCAAGCCCTCCCCTCCTGGCGGGGATGCTCGCCGTCTGTGTCTCCGTCTCCCAAGGGCCACTCCTCAGTTGGGTGCTCCTGTGGCTGGCTGTTGTGCAGTCACGCCCCTCGTCACGTAGACCACATGCACCTCGGCCTGTGCGGTGTGAGATGAGGCGGTGTCCTCCAGCGGGCTGCGTGAGTGACACGTGACTTGTCGCCCGCCTCGTGTCCAGCTGGGCCTTTCTCGCGCCGACAGGAGGAAGTGCCCCAGAGTGTCGACCGGCAACAACCTCCCACACACGTTCTGGGCTCGCCCGCCCTCGCAGTCTCTGACTTTACCGTGTGCTGACGTGGGACACCTTCACACAGGGTCTTGACAGCAGAGGAGCACACAGCCCTCCTCCTTAGGGGACACCTTCAGACCTGGGGGGTCCTGGGACCTGCTGGTGTAAGGGACCGTCACAGAGGGATTGTAGAGCAAAGAGGTGACCCAGCACACGGTGACATCCTCGCCACTCTCCCCCACGGCTGAGGCGAGCGTGTGCTGGTGCGGACGCCAACACAGGCTGGACACGCTCGTTAGGAGGCCAGTGCCCAGCCTCCATCCCCTCCTGGAGAGGTCCTTCCCAGGCCCCCTAGCGCTGGGACACTGTGAGCCTGTGGACACTCAGCGACTGCTAGGCACGGTCAGCGCTAATGGCTGCTCGCACCTTCCGGTTCAGAACAGCACTTGGGATCTGGTAGGAGGAGCGTGAATTTGGACTCCCACGAGCAGTGGCTGCGGCCTTCAGTGGCTCAGGAAAACCTGCTCAGCGACCGTGGTCACTCCCAGCCACTGTCACTGACACCCGCTCAGTCGCTGAAACCCGCTGTGGTCACTCCCAGCCATCATGGTCGCTGACAGCCACCACGGTCACTGACAGCCACCACGGTCGTTGACAGCCACCACAGTTGCTGAAACCTGCTGTGGTCACTTCCAGCCCTCATGGTCGCTGACAGCCACCATGGTCCCTGACACGTTTGTCCGACCACGTGCTGTCCCAGTAAGAGCTCTGCAAAGTCGTGCTGGGAGACCGCTGGCCCCCGGCCCCGGACGTCCTCGTGAATCCGTAGTCTGCAGGGCTGGGCAGCATTGCAGCGGCCGCTCCGGTAGGAGTCGCATATCGCTCTTCTCTGCTGCTGTAACATGATTTTAAAGCAGACCCAGATAATACTTGGATGAATTGATAGAACCGGGGCGACAGAGCGGTGTCCCTGTGTTCCAGAACCTGCTGCCAGTCGTTCCTGGTAAGCACTCTCGTCCGCCCGCTCGTCTGCTGAGGTCCAGTTATACG